TAAGCTAATTGTATTATATGCTTTGACCATATCTTAAAATAAAATTCACAATTCTTTTTTTTCTTTTTTGATCTTCATTACAGATATTGTTTAACAAGTGGATGAATTTTTTTTTTAAAAAAGAGCAAATAGCTATTATGTTTAATTATATTTATTATACTTTCACTTGCAAAACAAGATATAATACTCAATAGCAGACATACGTCTCTCTTTATTAGAAAAAGTTTAACACAAGGCTCCTGTACAGGGCCAAACCTCTGTGCTCTTTTAGTATCATTCAAGAAATACAGACAAAAAGAAATTCAAAAATTTATATTATGTTTATGAATAGCATCTAATCATATGAAAGCGCTGCAGCCAATCTATACAGGTTGGCCTCCAAGTCATAATTAGGATTGGCACACCTGCTTTCCAAACATGGCTTGATGTACAGCAAGTGGAATAGTGTCGGAGGTGATAAGAAATGAGTACCTTTTTGCATAAAAGCTGCAGCCACTTTATACAGATTTGCCTTCAAGTTACAAAAAGAATTTGGCATATCTATGCTTCAAATGTGACAGAAGTGTTCTATAGGTGGAGTTCATATTGGTTTTCTTAATAATGCTGGAACCTAACCTTATACAATAGATCTATATTGTCAGAAGAGTAAGCGAGAAACTTTTGTTGTCATCATCAACTCATATTGCGGAAGTAACTAGAATCCCTGGTTATCACGTATTACTCTACTAAGTTCTTCAATCATTAGCATAACATCTGCAACTAATCTAGCTTATTGTTAACTGCATTGGCATTAGCTGCCATTTTCCTCTAGATACTGTGGACACAACTCCTTGGATACTTTCAGATAATAATAGTTATACAAAGATTTCTTAGGCATATCTAATTTAACTGCCAATCAGTAAACAATGCTGGATTTGGTAATAATAGTCATGTCGATCTTTTGGAGGGTAAGCCATCCATCCTTTTTCTGAGAAACAATGGAAGAGAGAAAAAGTTCTAAAGCTCACATCCTAAGAAAGGTTACAGCTTCTTAATATAGTCCTTGAGAAAAGAAAGTCAATTGGCCAGAGAAGTAATATTATGAAGATAAAGTTTTCAAAAGAAAAAGAGGCCTAGAGAGGAAAACCTTCAGGAAAAAAAAGAAAATCTAACTATGGCAGGTAAAAAAAGAAAAAAAGAAAGTAAAAGATAAAAAATAAAAAAAAGTATATAGAAGAGAGGGAAGAGAATAAGGAGAAAAAAATAAAGAGGTGGGAGAGAGCATAGAAAAATAAAAATAAAAAAAAGAAGCAAACAACTCAAAAATTTTCTAAAAAGGAAATTTTCAAGCGTAGAAAGGAGAGTGGAAAAGAGTTTTTTTAATTATAATTAACAAGTGAATGAATTTTAAAGTGCTTTTTTCATATAGTTTTATAAAATTAAAATCTTTTAAAATATTATATCTTTAATATATAGTGAATAATCAATTAATAATAATTTTAATAAATATTTTTGTAAGACATTTAAAAGAACTATAGATCTAATATTACTTATAATATCTTGACATTTTTTTTTCTTCAATATTGAATAAAGTAAATTTTTTTTCTATATTAATAGAACTATATCATAAATTAAATATATATTTATAAGTTAACATAGTATTTTTTTTTTTTTATTATTAATTTTTTAAATATTTGATATTTGATCTTGTTAGGTCTTGTTGCTTTATTATTTGAAAGATCTTTCAGAACTTTTTCCAACTCATTTTCAGAAATAGTATTTATTATATTATTATATTATTTTTTCTTTATGTCAGTTTTTGAAGTATATTCTTTCTATTTTTTGTTTAATAGATTAAAGTTATTGTTTCATTTCTTGAAAGTCTTTTTGTAATATTCTTTAGTTTGATATAGAATTTTTTTTTTGTTTATTAATATATATTCTTTTTTTAATTTATCTTAAATATAGATTTTGTTTATAATTATTTTGTTTTAAAAGTTGTTTGTCAAGTTATGTATTACTTTTTTTTGATTTTCTTTAAAACTTTTATATCTCTCTTGAATTGCTTATTTGATTTTTATATTGATTCTATTTCTTTTCTTATTAAGACATATCTTTTTCAAGAAACTGACTGTTTCTTTAAGTTAAAGAATTAATATATCTTCTTTTTCTTTTTTTTTAAGAATTTTTAAGAGCTCTTAAATAGATTTGAAAATCAATACTATTGGAACTATATTTTAATTGATTTTTTTATATTCTTTTTATAGTTTTTAAATTTGTAATAATTCTTTTGAAGAGTCTTGAAAACTGGATTAACTATTGAGAGTTTTGAGAATTAGATAATAATTGTAAAGTATAAATTATTCTTTTTGACTCTTCTTATAATTATACAAATTTATTTTTTCTCTTATTGTTCTTTTTTTACAATATAAATAGTTAAAGGCTAAGATTATTAAGATTTTTCAAATATCTTTTATTAATTTTAAATCAATTATATATATATATTGTTATTAATCTGATTGAAGTTTATTGTTTGAATTAGGAATAAAATATTACTTTGTTATAGCTTTTAATTAATCTTATGTATATATTTTTTTTATTGTGATTCTATTGTTTTAAAAATATTAATTATTTTTTTTCTAAAAAACTTCATTTTTTTATATTTATCTAATGATTTTTGAATATAGTATCTTGTATAATTTGAATATATAATATAATATAATTACTATTGAAAATTGAGCAAAAGTCATTATTACTATGTTGTAATATATTGTTCGCTATATTATAGAATCTCCAAATATAATTGATTTTGCTAAAACTTATTTTGTTTTTTCAAGTATCATAATTTTTACTGGTTTCTATAGTTGTTGCAGATTAGAAAGATTCCAGTTATCCATATAATTTAATAATTTAATTTTAGGATTTTCAAGTTGAAAAACTCTTATATATTGTTTTGTTGTTTTACAATCTATTCTTGTATTGAGTATTGTATTGAAGTTATTTATTATTATAATTTTATAGTTTTTTTATAAGTAGGTTTATAATAGATTTAAGATCTTTTTTTGTAGTTTTCAATTTTTTCTTTTATCACTAAGTAAGTATATTTGAATGATTCATATCTTGTTATTTTTGTTCAGAAGATTAATTGCTATAAGGTAATCTTTAATTTTGTCTATTGATACTATATATTTTCACTATTTCTATGAATTAGCAATAGAACTTTTGCTTTTTGAAATTATCTGGTTTTATATTTAAAATATATTTAAAGTATTTTTGATTTGAAAAAGTGAAATATTAATTTTTTTTGAAAAGTTTAATCTTATACAAATCTAAGATATTGATTTTCCTTTCTAATAATTCTATTATTAGATTGATTTGGTCTGTATCACATATAATCTCTTTAATATTATATATACTTATTATTATATATAGTATTTGAATATTAGAGTTATTGTTTAAAAAGTTGTTACTAAAATTATATAAAGGTTTTTTTGAATTGATGTTGTAGAAATTTATATCTTAATTGTTTAAGAATAGTTCTTTTTGTTTATATAAGAATATAGTAATATTAATATTTAATTATTAATTGTATAATTCTAAAAAAGATTTTGAATTAGAGATATCCAAGATATAAGTTGACAAGAAACTTGAGATTAAAAATTTTATTTGCAATAAATTTTTTAATAATTCATTTTCTTCAATATTAATCTTAAATTGAACTGATACAATTTTTAAGAAAATTAGCAAGTTTTTTTGTTATTTTATCTTTTTTGTTTTCTAGTCTTGTCAATTTGATACTGATGGATTCTAGTATTATTTGAATTGTATTTCATAAATTTGATACTTATAATATATTATATTTAAATATTATTGGTTCAATTATAACTTATTTTTTTTTTGTTTATCCAAGTTAAATTATTTTAGATTTTTTTTTCTTTTGTAATTGAAAAAAAGCTTATATTATAAAGATAATTAAACTAACTTTTTTTTTTTGAACTGTAGTTTTGAGCTTAAATTTTTTTTAATACTTTTTTAATATAGTCATGTCTTTTTATATTGTTTTGATACTTCATCAAACTTTGTATTTAAACAGTTCTATATGTAACAATAAAACTTTATTAAAGTCTTTTTGATTTTTAAAACTTATAATAACAAAGTTTCTTCTTTTGCCTGTTTTATTTTTAAGTGATATATATCATTTTGATCTTTTAGTATTTTATAATACAGTCAAACCTGGATATAACGAACCTGTTTATAATGAAGCTATAATAAAATACTGATTATAATGAATTTTTGAATTTTGAATTTACTCAAAATTCATTATAAAAAGAAATTTTTATTATATAAATTTTTACTAATTAGTTCAAAGGCTTCATTATATCCAGGTTTGACTGTATATTTATTAATAAAACATATTTATTTATTAATAAGAAATAAATGATTAAATTTTTACATTATATTATAAAGGAAAACAAAAATACAATTTATTAATTTTATATTTAAAAAAATAATTAAAATATTAATGATAAATGGTAAAACTCCCTGTTGATTAAGATAATATAGATAAATCTATAAATTGATAAAATTGATAAATCTATAAATCGATAAAATTGATAAATCTATAAATCGATAAAATTGATAAAACTAATAAAATAAACCTATTGAATTTAAAACAATAACTTAAATTTGAATCTTTATTTTAACACTTTAAATCTCTATTTTAGTTCATATTTTATTACAATGCTTTGTTGTGAAAAAAAAGGTATCAGGTAGTTTTCGTGACAAATGTTAAAATGTTTCATCGAAACTTACCACCTTTAATGATAGTGAAATAGATTTATTAAGTATTACTTGTACTCTATGTTAATGCGGTGACGTTTAATTGGATGATTGTTCAAATATTTATAATAATGATCGAGGGCAATTAATGATGCTACAAGTACAAACGAACAATTCCTAAAAGAAAAAACATCAATTGAGAAAGAGTAGATGCACAAAGTGAGATTGTAAAGTGTGGTTTGTTATGTGTTTTGAGTGGTCTTCCCACCAACTATATCACAATGTCCTATTTTCCCACGAACAATTGAAGATAACTGATTATCGGAAGTTGTCTGACCAATCATTCGCTTTTCAAATCGCAGTAAATCATAAGAATGAACAATGTGCGATCTTTTACGTATGGTGACACATATGTTTCCTGGTGTGTTATCCTTGTTCCTCTCGTTGTCACTTCCTCCACTGTCGCTGTTGTTACTATCGCACCCACTATCACTACCTGAACTAGTTATTTTGGTTTTACTGCGATTTGAAAAGCGAATGATTGGTCAGACAACTTCCGATAATCAGTT